CTAGGCCCTTAGTTCAAGTCCCAGAACTACCCTAGAAAAAGGTTATCATTTCGCTTAAAGGTAGAAGTGGCATACTTAATTTACTTACCTGAAATAGCAGGAACAATTCTCAATAAAAAAGAAAACGTAAAATAACAAAAGCCACATTGACTGCTGTGCCTTTTGTTGTAGGAAGAAGTGTGAGATACAGTACTAGGGATAGGCGTGATGGAGACTTTGGCTTCCTTTAGAAAGTGAAAAATGGTGGCTCACACCATTGAAGCCAGCCTGGGGAGCAAAATCCCAGAGACTCTTATCTACAGTAGGAAAAACAAGCAAAATGTCAGGCTGGAGATACAGTCCAAATAAGTAGAGCATTGAGTAATCAAGCCAAGCAAGCATGAAGCCCTGAGTTCCAACACTGATTTTCACCCATACTTATAAGAAATGTGAGAAATTGGCAGGACAATTAAAGACACTAAGTTGATGGAGGGGAGGCTAGAGCCATTTGAGTGACAAATCCTCGGGGACACAGGTCCTTACAGCTAGGAAATCAACACGTCTAGGTCAGATTCCTGTCACTGTTCCTTATGCTCTTCATCTTTGTGTGAGGTATTTAATGTAAGACATGATACTTTGCTACCCTCTTTACTAGTAGCTTATTTCCCCAAGTATGAGGAAGACATTGCTGAAATTTATGTGGCTCTTAATGTAAGTTTTTGAAAGTAGTAGATGGAGGACATACATTAGTGTGTCTTCAGCAGTTACTTCCACAAAAGGAAGACCGGCTTGTGTCCCTAGCAGGAGCAGCAGTGGTCCTGGTACAGGACCACTGTGAGTTCTATTAACTCCCTCAATGGCCTTTAAGAACCACCCTGCTAAGACCTTCAGCTTCTACAGACCCCCCCTAGGTCCAAGACTCTGTTCCTACATTTCTCAAGAACCTTCCTGTACCTGGTGTGATCCTTAAACTGCAGCACCAGCGTCACCTGGGATCTTGTTAAAAATACAGGATCTTGGTGCCATTCTAGATCCAACAGTGTCCTTTCAACAATTCACCTGTGCATGGAACATTGATCTAGAATTGCAGTCAACCAGCCCACATGTGCAAGGTTTAAAAATGAAGTGTATTTTTAATTCAATGTATCCCACAGTATTATTTCAGCATTTTTTCCACATTGAAAGAAAATAGGCTATCTAGTATGTAAATATTTCACAGCATATCCAACTTCAAAGTGCTTGATAATTTTGAAGCTAGCAGCCTGTGCTGAGTAGCGCAGCTCCCAGCAGGGGCCTTCCAGTTACCAAGATGTAAGCAACAGTTCCTTCTTCTCAAGCAGAGAAGAGACCTATGCAGCAGCCCTTAGGGACCTGCAAAGGAAGAAAAGCCTAAATCGAATACAAAATCCCAGCTCCTCTCCAGTCCTGCTTGACATTGCCAGACATGCTTTTTTATGGTGTCTCTCAAGTCTACTGCTCCCCTCTCATACAGCCTCATTGCCAGGGCCACTGCTGGTGGGCTCAGCAACAGAGTAGTCCTTCTCCCTCATGGTCCTCCCCTGCACCAGGGGCTGCCTCAGCCCAGGCACCATACTCAGCCTGAGTTCAATTCTTTTACAAAAGTATGGCTCCCAACCTCGCTTGTACCTGAGTCAGCTGGGGACTCATTTTACTTCCACTGAAGTAACAGCTCTAGGGTGAGTCTTGAACCTTTATCTTCCCATTAGAAGAGCCCTTAGACATGCAGCGCCTTGATGTGACTGCCAGGGTAGGGAGCTGGTATGACAGGCAGCAGGTGGCTCTTGCTTTGGGTCCTGCACGCTCACCCTTAGAACGAACTCTTAGAACGAACCTTCCTTGAGTTCACTTGGTTCTATGGTGAGCACTTGGCTACTCAGAGCCTGCTGAGTACAGAATTAAGTTGAACTTGAAGCTGATTAGTAGCCAAGGAAAAGGTAACATTCCCGAGTCCCACTTAGACACTGAGCCAACCATGACTGCTTAGCAGAGTAAATACAGACTCATCTATAATCCCAGCATGTGGGAAGTTGTGGCAGGACAGAGTTCAAAGTCATCCTGGGCCACACAGCGTCACCTTGGTTCAATGGCAAGCAGCAACTCTCCTCCAAGGCCCATGCTCTGCTAAATTGAGAAAGGAAGGTTTTACTTTTAAGAAGGGAGCATCAGGGCTGGGAAGGTGGCTCAGTGGTAGAGCGCTTGCCTTGCATGCATGAGGCCCTGGGTTTGATTCCTCAGCACCACATAAGCAAAATGAAAAAAGCCGGAAGTGGCGCTGTGGCTCAAGTGGTAGAGCGCTAGCCTTGAGCTGAAGAGCTGAGGGACAGCACCCAGGCCCAGAGTTCAGGCCCCACGACTGGACCAAAAAAAAAAAAAAAAAGAAGGGAGCATCACTTAATGGTCTATTCCTGTCTCAGCTCTTTTTCCCTTCCCAACTCCATTGGCTCTGCTCTTTCAACTAACATGAGCAAACCAGCCACCTAGGATGTGAGGGCTGCTTCCGGTTCTGCTTCAACTAGTTTGGCACAAATACACTTACGCACATCACCCAAGGGTACATAACCACAATGTTTGCTCTTCCCATGAGGCTGGGCAAACAGCTATAGCCAAAGAGCTGGGAGTGGTGTGCATGCCAGTAGAAGGGACTGACATTTCCCAGAGGCACTTCAGCTTCAAAAGATTGCAACACTCACTTATTTGAACCTAAGGAAATGGGAGGCTATAAACAATCTGATTCCATCTGTGCCTGCCACCGCACAGTGAAGTTAATTTGTACAAAATATGGCACCTGATAGTCAGCTAACACCAACTCTTACTGGTTGCAGTGTATAATAAGGTTTGGTGCCAATGACTTTGATTGTGAAGCAGGCTGTGGAGAAAGAAAAATCACTTTTAAGAAAAAATGACAGCAATTACAACCATAGAAAATATCCAAATAGGGCTGGGAAGGTGGCTCAGTGGTAGAGTGCTTGCCTTGCATGCCTGAGGCCCTGGGTTCGATTCCTCAGCACCACATAAGCAGAAAAAAAAGCCAGGAAGTAGCGCTGTGGCTCAAGTGGTAGAACCCTATCCTTGAGCTGAAGAGCTTCGGGACAGCACCCAGGCCCAGAGTTCAGGCCCATGACCAGATCCCCCCCACCCCCCAAAAAAGAAAATATCCAAATAAAGATTAAAGCCAGTCAATCCAAAAAAGTTGATAAGGAGGTGCTGACCAATCCACTAGGTGATTAGAAAAAGCCTAGGAAGTGAACCACCTGTGGCCAGAGGAAAAGCTCCTCCAAGCCCCTCCCCCCAAATTAAGGTTTCACATCGAAGCTAGACAACTGGTATATTCCACAGCAGTCCAGCCAGCCAGCACCCTTCATGTTGACGGTCCATCAGCCCAGGCTGATCTTGAATTCACCATCCTTACTCAGCCTGAGTGCTGAGATTAGAGGCATGGGTTTCGGGGCTTCATTTTCATCTTGGCCTATCATTCCTTTCCAATCCACACCCTCCTTGGGTCTCTAGTCTGTCTTATCTGGAGGGCGGGGAAGAGTTAAACTGCCCTAGAAACAAAAAGGGATGCTGATTCTTAGTGTTCTCTAGTTCTTTCAAACAATTGAGAACTTAAGTGAGAGACAGTAGAAAAAAAAAAAAAAAAGCAAGCAGCCAGAATTATCTATAAGCAAAAATTGAAGAGGGAAGTTTTGTTTTCTTTGGCTAGGGTGGAAAGGTTAGAACACTTGCACTCAATGTTGTTGCTTGTCTGATCTACACCAATGCAAGGGAGTAACAGCATTGTGGCAAGAAGAATGGGCTATTCTCCACCAACTTAGCACAAGGGAGTACTGAAGTCTTCCTTCAAGGCAAGCAGCAACACTTATCTAGAAATGAAGCCCAGCCAAGAGTTGCCCTCTGGTGCCCTCAGCTGCAAACCTCTTAATTCACAGCCACTGCTGGAAACCAGGTTCTGACACAAAGTTCCAAATGGGTTTTTAGTGTTTCTGAGGGCTCCAAGTACAGCATGCCACACAGGACTGGCCATGCTTACGTGCCCTGTGCTCTTTTCAGTGGGCCCTACCACCCCACCAAGTGACAGCTTTGGTCACCCAAGAAAACAGGATCAGAGTGGCTGACTCATGAAAACTAGCCAAGTTGTTTACTTTGAGCTTCTACCCTGGGCACATGGAGAATGACAGCCACAGCAACAATGACAGGTAACATTTCTGGGATGCTTTACATGCCCTGCTGAACTCAGTCCTTTATGTGTGTCATTCGTTTCCAATCCCAAATTATCATGACAAATTTGTTGCACAAATTATATAGTTGTTAGCCTCTTTTTATCTGTGTCACAAACAAATCCCATGATCCTACAAGATCAGAGTGGCAAAGCATGGCATGAGCTTGTTATTCACTCAGCATCAGTTCTAAAACTCCTTTTTGAGGAGGGAACAAATACTGCTAAGCACAAAGAAAGCAAGATAAATTCCAGTTTGGAAATGGCACTGCCTCCCATCTGCCTCAACCACAGGTCAGTCTGGATCCACGTGAATCTGGCCCTGTCCTGCTTATCCTTTAGGACCATCAAGGCCTTCATTAGTCTCTTACTCTGCACTCACCGTATGTCCTTCACAGCCTGCAGCTTACAAAGCTAACAAGCTTACAAGGCTTTCTGGCAGACATTGATTTTGAGCCAACCCAGTTGTTAGATCTCCCATTCACAGAAGGATTCTGAGCCTGCCAAGTACCTTACCTTCCAACACCACCAAATACTACATAACCATAAATCCAAAGAAATATTTAATGACTTCTTAAACAATTAAATGAGTGTACCTAAGATATTACCTCACCAAACAGAAAACATGATAGGTATTGTCAGACTTCAAACTCAAGTGTTAAAAGCCAGCAAAATTGTGGCAGTAGAAAGCTTTTTATTCATATTCCTCTCAACTCAAAAAATTCTCATAATCCACAGAAATTTTCCTCAACATTACATTAAAAAAAACTCTGCAAAACTCAGGTCCCATTTAAGATGCATATTTTTATTGAAGTTAAAAAAAAACTTTTTGAAACCAGACAAAAAGGATAAAAGTAGACAAGGGTGTTATAATCTGACTATATATTCTCTCATTCTTGCTGGATCACTAAAATATAACAAAGGATTGTTCTCTATGTTGATTTTAAGATTGTTCAATTAAACCATTATTTGGTATCCTTTGAACAGGTTAACCTCTTAACTATGAAACATTCATATATTATACAGGAAACATTCATAGTTTATTTGGAAAACATTCATATTTTATATAGGATATACAAATTTTGAGGCGAGACAATAAAAACACAATTATAGCCGCAACACTACCCTAGCTGCATTGTGGTGATTATGTTTAGTCAGTTGTCCATCATATACAACTGGATTTTAATCGCATTATTTACAGAGGGGCCAAAGCACTCATCTAAAGGTAAAGGCGCTCAGGTTTAATGTGCACTTTCATAGCCCTAGGAAAACACAACCATTATATACACTGTAAACACCACAGGGCATGAAATCCATCTCCAACCACAAACATCAATCTCACAGGATCACGCATACAAGGTCTAAGATAAGGTGCCTGGCTTTTATTTCTTAGGCATACTTTGCATCCAAGGGTCTTGATTTCCTTTTCACTTACTTCAAATAAGGTACCAGTGCTAAAAACCCTTCCGGAGTCCCTGCTTAGAGATTGCCTGCAGTGAGCTCCTCGGAACATACTTGACATGGCAAGTCTTCATCCTTTGAGGATAGATTTGATGGGAAAAACAGGCATAACTTATTCACAGCTGAGCGAGCCAAGCTACTGGGATCCCACCCTGGATCAAGTGTGAGGCTCTTACTGTAAAACTATGAGACCAGTTTTCTTGCACAGCTGGTAAGAGTTTGGCAGTCCTGATGGAGCAAGTACAGATTCCCCTCAACTGGGGACTGAGAGGCAACACTCACTTGAACGGTTTATGTATTTAGCATTTGTAAAATTGGGCTTTCCATTGCCTCTTACATAGACTTCAGTATTCCTCTTCTGTTTCACTCCCTCTTGCTTTCTTATGGATTGCTCGGTTAAAGCTGTGGCAGGCAGGGACCCAGTGGTTGTCGTGAAGTCCTAGCTTGCAGCCGGGAAAGCCCTTCTGAGACCGATGGCAGCACATCCAGTACCCAGGCCCATAGGGCAATGCCTGGCAATAGGGTTTGGGATGCCACCGGCACAGAGACACATCCCCTTTCACATATTTTTTCTTGCACTGCTTGCAAGGATCCTCTCTATAGCGTGGATCTCGAACCCAGCGAGAATCAGCTGGTCTGATATTGTAGTATTCAATGATAAACTTGAAATAGCAGCAAGTACACTTAAGAGCCACTAAACTCCTGGTGGGAAGTAACCTGAAGATTTTTACCATAATGTGGTGGGGCAGACATGCCATGTACTGCTGAGGCTCCAGAAGCTGCTGGATTTTAAACCTAGTCTCCAGAAAGTCATGAGACACCTGCTTCTTCCAACTAGATGCCTCAAGCACCAGTTCTGTACTTTCTCCTGCAGAGCCTGGAGGTACGAAGGGCTCCACGGATTCACCTTTTGGATCAGATTTCCTGGAACTACCAGTAGCATCTTCAAGCTGCAGGGTCTCTGAAGATTCTCGGGCTGTGCTTTCATTCACCTGGGAACAGTCTAACTGGTGCTGACCAGGTGGCAAAAAAAACAACATCCCTGGAGGTGGCTCTTCACAGGTGTTGAAAAGAGAAGGCTGGTCTTTCTCCACTTTGGACACAGTGATGCTAATGCACAAAGACTCTTTTGTTCTCTGATCAGGATTTTGGCTAGTAAGCGGCACAAGCTCTCTACTTGTACAATCGATAGCATCTGTGGGCAATTCAGTGACTTGGAGACAGGTGTGAGAAGAAAAAGGCAGTCCATCAAGTTCATCTGTCATTTCCACATCATACCTACTGCTGGTTTTCATTGGGGTTTGTTGAGCTGGCTCTAATTCTGCATTGTCCGGGTGGAAAGTCACACCTGCTGGCAATGATGTGGGACAGCCCTGAGGAACACCATCCCAGGCTGGGTCTCCAATAAGAGAATGGGCAGCTCTTGAGGGTCCACAGTCCACAGACTGCACAGGATTCACCTGAGTGTCAGGTACCTCCAAGGTGCCTTGCTTGACTTTCCCTTCATCAGCCTGAGTGCCATTTGCAAGCAACACCCTGCCTACATTTCGACGGAAACTATTATTCCGAGACAGGCTCCCAGGCTCACGCTGGCTCTGCCGCTTCAGGCACTCAGACTCCAGCCTAGCTACCATGTCAAGGACACGCACTGGTTCACTCTGTGGCTCAATAATCTCAGGATTTCCTCTTTCTGGGGGATCTTCACAAGCTCCTGGGGAAGAGAAGGGCTCAGGGACAGCGGCCACACCTCTGGATTGGCCAGAAAACCTCACAATGGCAGGAGAACTGCTGCAGTTCTTTGTACAGCTGGCTAGTAGGGCACTGGCTCTTTGCTCAAGGAAGGCAACCATCTGTATGACAGACAGAGGCCGCCCAGTATAGATGCCATCCCCACTGTCACTCACATAATGCACAGAACAGTGCTCAATGCCACAGGCAAATGGCTCTGGTTGGTAGCACTTGCTGTTGACATCCCTCATCCTTTCTAACTGTATCTTGGCTTTTTTAAGATCCCCTGATTTTTTCCTTCTTTTAGTAGCTCTCCCATCAATATCCCAGGAGCTTTTTATTTTCATAGATCCTGTCCTATTGCTATACTGGTGGGCTGCAAAGAAGGCAATTTTCTCCTTTGTGTTTCCAGGTTTCACAACAGCCCAGATGTCAAGTGGCCCTTCCCCTCCTTCTCCCTGGTGGATTGTTGCAGACGGTGCATTCTTTCTTGGTTTAACGTTCAAGCTGTTCTCTACAGGACTCTTCCCACTCATGCTGCACAGAACATTTGGAGAAAGGACCCCAAATGGTGTTCGAAATGATGCTTTGCCAAGAGAGGCTGAAGGAAAGACACCAGGCTTCATGTAGCCACCTTTGTCTTTTTCATCATTGGCAGCCTTTTGGTGACTCAAAGGAGTTCTTAGAGTGTCCCTGCTGACTTCCAGAGGACGTTCTTTCTTCTGGAGCTTCCAATATGGCTTTAGGTGCATAACAGAGGCCCTATGGGGGAGAAATACATTATTTGATTGAAAGGTTTTTGATTTTTTTTAAGACAAGTTTAAGTTAAGCCACCAGCTTTCTAGACTCCTACTAAATCAGCAATACTCACTTAGCTAGTTTTTAATGTACAGATGAAGTATATATAACAAAAGCAAAATAAACACTTTACATCATTATCAACTTGAAAATAAATTGACTTTGGCTGAGTTTTATAAACTGACAAGTATCCTATCCATAAACTTACTCATTTAAACAAAGTTCATCTTACTTAGAACACTTCATCAGTAAGTACTCAGCACAGTACAGACAATAGTATAAAAGAAACTCTTCCATAAACCATAGCAGATTTTATGTTTTATTTTGTGTTTTGAAACAGGGTCTCATTTTGTGTAAGCTCAGCCTAGCACAGAATCCATGATCCTCCTGCCTCAGCCTCCTGGCTGCTGGTATTATATGTACCCACACACCCAGCCTTACATGGTTAAGCACTTAACCTTTCCAGGTCATGATCATACTAGCATTTTGATTACCTATTTGATTACCTATTATTATATTTCTTCCTAAATTATTCCAATACTATTGACTGTTCTGATGTCTAACTTTTCACTTACTTGATTATATGTGTTGTTCAACTATGCGTATAAGCACCTATCAAATTTCCCGCCTTTATTTTTTGTTGGAATAGGACTGGGAATTTAACTCAGAACCTAGAGCTTAACAAACACTCCCTCACTTGAGCTATGCCTCTAGCCCTTTTTTGCTTTATTTTTCAGATAGGGTCTCCTGCCTCAGACTTTGCCTCCTGGTCAAATGTGAACCACCGCACCCAGTTTATTCATTAATATAGGGTCTTAATCACTACTACCCATACCCCATACCCCTTTTTGGCCTTGAACTGGAATCCTCCTATACTTACAAAATGTCTGAGACTTACAGGCATTAGCCACCCTACCTGGCCTACTGCAACTATCTTAAATGTAAAATAGAATCTATAATCCTAATTCTAAAAACATTTTACATGACTTCAGAAAAACAGTGCCTTGTTTTTTTCCCTGGCCAGGACTGGGGATGGAAGCCACTCTGGAAATGAGACACAAGATGATTACATCACAGACCTGGGTTCTAGTCTAGCCCATCCTATCAATGACTAGCTTACCTAGGGCCAGTCCCTTCTTCCCTGGATCTGAGCTGAAATGTTATAACTTGGGAGTTGAAAGATACATGATGCAATGATCACATCAAACCCACTACCATCAAAACATCCTGGATTAAGAAAAGAGTATTTTCGAAAGATGCCTGGCTTCCTGCAAAATAAACCTACCACCCTAAATAAAGATCTGAAGTCAGATGGGTACCAGTAGGACGGAGGAGAGAGAAAAGATTAAATATGTTTCAAATACTCGGGGCTGGGAAGGTGGCTCAGTGGTAGAGCGCTTGCCTTGCAAGCCTGAGGCCCTGGGTTCAATTCCTCAGCAACACATAAGCAAAAAGAAAAAAGCCGGAAGTGGCGCTGTGGCTCAAGCGGTAGAGCACTAACCTTGACCTGAAGAGCTGAGGGACAGCGCCCAGGCCCAGAGTTCAGGCCCCACGACCAGACCAAAATAAAAACCCAAAACTTTATATACAAAAGTATACATGTATGCAAATAGAACAATGAAACCTGGAAACCTGCTGGAATTGCTTTTAAAAGGGGAGGGAGAGGAAGACAAGACTGATGAAAGTGAACTATACAACCTGAGGGAATGGGAGAGAATGAGGGAACAGATGACACTGTATGAAAGGAAATGTACTTATTACCTGACTCATGTAAATGTATATCACCTCTGTATATCACCTCTAAAGTAACTTTTTTGGGGGTCAGTAGTGGAGCCTGAACTCTGGGCCTGGGTACTATCCCTCATCTCTTCAGCTCAAGGCAAACACTCTACCACTTGAGCCACAGCGCCACTTCCAGCTTTTTCTGCGCAAGTGGTGCTAAGGAATCGAAACCAGGACCTCATGCATGCAAGCCCAGCCCCTGGAATTGTTTTTAAAAGGGGAAAGGAGAGAGGAAGACAAGAGTGTGATAAGAGGGGTGAAGTTGATCAAGGAACATGCATGCATGGAAATACCACTATGATAGTGTATGCTTTAAAAAAATAAAAATTTTTAAAAAGAATCGGGGAGCTCATCTCACACCTGTCCTATCTACTCAGTAGGCTGAGATCTGACTCAGCTCAGGATGGTTAAGACTGTGAGACTCTACAGTTAAGCAACAAATGATCAAGAAGTGGGGCTGTGGCTAAAGTGTTAAGAGTGCCATCCTTGAGCAATAAAGCTCAGGGACAGCGCCCAGAAGCATGAGTTGAAGTCTTAGGACTGGCACCAAATAAATAACTTTTAAAAAATGGGATGAAGTCACAGGTCAGAAGAATGAGGAACCAGCAGCTGAAGATGTTAATGAGCATGGTATGTTTCCCTACACTGGCTCACTGAGACAGTGGCACAGCATGTTCTTTGCTGAGTGGTGAACAGCATTTACTGAACGCCTGCAGTGTAGCTCCCTCTATGTAACTGTCTTCAGGTATCAGCACTGATTGTCAAGTATGAAAGCGATTGTTTAGTTCAAGCTTACCCTTCAAGAATTAGAGTCCAGTCTCAGCTAAGAGAAGAAATACTGATATGGTTATATGGTAAGGAGAACTGAATCCTGCATTTAAGAATATGAAATGTCCTTTAAAAGATAACCCCTGAAGTAGATATTAGGATCTTTCTGACCTTTGGCAATTTATATCCTAACCATTTATAGAGATCTTCCCCTTTCTGTGTTGTAGCATTTTTAATAGCTTTCTATCATATTCTATAATTTAGTCCTCCAAAAAGAACCACCCAGAAGTCTTCAATATGACATATAAATGAACAAAAGAGGAACTCTGACTCACTGTCTCTTTGTGCCAACTATTTTCTGATTTTTTATATTCTTTCAACACCTCTATAAGTGAAATGGAAGAAATGGATGTTGAAAACAAAATTCTCACATAATTATCTCATCAGAGTGTCTGTGAATAAATTAAATTTAAACTGCAATATGTGTGCTATTTTGCATTGCACAATATGTTCCCTTTGCCTTCATCCCCCACACATTATTTTAGGTTTTGTTATTGACAAAGACATCAAGAGAAGCAGTTAATGTCACCGGGAAGGCTTTTGTATGCATTTAACCTGTAAAGTCAGCTAGACTAATTAACAGTTACTGTGCAAAACGTTCTAGCTAGATGAATCAGGAAAAGATCCCAGGAAAAAAAGTGAGGAAAGCAAAGGTACAACAGAGAGGGAAAGCCAGTAAGAACACATAATTAGAGGGTTAGGGCACAGTGAGATGGAGTGCTCTGAAGGAGGTGCAATGTTCAAGGGTTGCTTGAAGCTGGTAAGGATAGGGAGGTTAACTTTTCTGCCCCTTGGTTGGCATCATGAAGGCCTTAAAGGCAGAAAATAGGTGTTGATGGAGTATAGAGAAACTATAAAACGCTGAGCTGAGAGGATATGATGCAGGGTAATAACGGTGTTTGCTGCAAAATTCTATAAAATAAAAACTTAAAGTCTCCAACAGTGTAAAACACATGGTGATACTTGCACACCTACCCACTAGACAGCTAAAGTGGAAAAATCCAGATTGGTTTCCATGGTTGCCAACTTTAAGGTACCAGGGTTTGAACTCAGGGCTTACTTGACTTGTTCTGCTGGTGCTCTACCACTTTAACCACACTTCCAGCTCTGTTATTTCAGAGACTGGGTCAGATTTTTCTCCAGGGACTTACTTCAAACTGATCCTCTGACCGCAGCCTCCTGAGTAGCTATAGGATTACAAGCACAACCCACTGAGCATAAGTTGACACACTCTTCATCACGCTCTTTTGTTTGTTCATTTGGGTTTTCTGTCTTTTGTTTTTGTAAAACTTGGGCCTTACTCATGCTAGGCAAGTAATCTACCACTGAGCTGTACCTCAGCATTTATAATAATATTTTAAAAGTTCGCTCTAATCAAGTCCCACTCCCAGCATAGTCTGTGGCCTTTTTGTTGACAGACCGCCACTTTACCTCAAACTCCCAATGTTAAGACTGTGATCTTCCTGTAATGATGGGAATGTACCACCATGTCTAGCCTCTTGTTTATTGAAATGAGGGAGTCTCATAAGTTTCTTGCTTAGCTGGCTTCAAGCCACCATGCCTGCTTTTCAATTTTATATTTTTGATGTAAAGTCTTGCTATGTAGTCCAACTTGGTCTCAAACCTGTAATCTTCCTTCCTCATCTTCCTGGGTGATCCAGATATGTGTCATCACAGCTGGCATTTTTAGGCTCTTCTCTAAGTAATCACTTCTCTAATTCTAACTCACTAAGGCTAATAACTCCCCATCCCACATTTCTAGTGGCATTCTCTTCCAAACTTCATAGCCTTATGCCTAATAGACATAATAAGAATCTCAAAATCAACCCAATAAATTGATGACAGCTTCAAGTACCTAATCCCTCAAACCAGAAACTTGAGTCATTTATGTTCTTCCTCCCTGACTTCTACATCCAGTCACCAAAATCACTCAAACGTTCCCTCCTATTCATCCAAATAGTATGACTTATCATCATTTCCACTACACAGTTGTTAAGATGCAGGACAGCCTACCTCTTATCATTTCAAGGCAAAGTTCTGGAGTCCACCCAGCCAATCCTTCAGCTTTACCTAGTTTGCCTACCACACTTCTTGCTTTTGGAAGGTTGTTCACAGAACGACTACAATGGGACCAGGTAGGAAAAGACAAAGACCATAATATTTTTTCAAAACTCCACCTACAAATGTCCATTTCCTTCAGCCATTTTTTGTTTACTAACCAAGCCAGGCACCCAACTCAGGAGACTGAGATCTGAGGATTGAAGTTTAAAGCTAGCCTGGGCAGAAGTGTAGATAAGACTCTAATAGCCAGTTAACCAGCAAAAAGCTAGAAGTGGACATATGACTCAAGTGCA